TGGCATGGGCCCAAAAGTTGAATCTTTGTTTAAGCGGCGATATTAGAAATCCTTGATTTCTGACGAGGCTTTGGAATCGTCTCACATGCCTAGAAAGAAGTCTGGCATCGGCCCAGAAGTTGAATCTTTGAAAATGCAACGATACGAGAAATCGTCGATCTTTGAAGAGGTTTAGGTGTCGTCTCAGATGCAACAGTCTGGCATGGGCTCAGACGTTGAATATTTATAAAGGCAGTGAAACCAGAAATCCTTGATTTCTGAAGAGGTTTAGGACGTCTCGAATGCCTGGAAGTCTGGCATGGGCCCACTGTCGAATCTTTGTATAGCAGTGATACCAGAAATCATCAATTGCCTGTAAAAATCATAGAGCTGCTGCTAACGATACTTGAACGAGATCGAGAATTTCTGCCAGTACTAACATGATGAAACGAGATAGGGACCGCTTCGTCATACTGGGAGTAGTATTCACCTCAAATAAACGCAGAGGCTCAGATGTTCTTGTTTTGCCTTTCTAAACGCTGTGCAGAAGACTGCCATATTCGTCTGCGCTAGTGCACTTTTCCCACGCCTTATCGCATTTCATATGTTAACAATACGGTTGAACCAACCAGTTCTGGTCTCTTAGAGGTGAGGCGGAGTCCGAGTGTACACACCATTTCGATCACGTTCAGGCAAAGACATTTAGGCAGTAACCCAGCAGTCTTTGCACACCACGAGTCTGATGTCAATCGTTTTGGCTAGTTCCACGTCAGCCGAATGCATATGTCCATGATTAGGCCCGCCATATCACAGAACCCAAGCCCGGACCCCAGCCGAAAGTGCGAAACCGCGAATTCCCTGCAATGGACTTGGATTTAGCATGCTTTGGTTTGCTCTTTGTTTCCTGCTTTGCTTTTCTCCCCGGTTTTGCGGTGTTTCTCCCGAAGAAACAGCAGCTCCAAACGGCGGCGCTCCTTTCACGGATGTTCTGCGTTAATCATGGGGCAAACCTCTAAAGCGCGGCCACGAGTTCAGACATCCGGATGCAAGCCGTTATGCGCAAACTTTTGCAGCGAGCGAAAATCTCAAGACTGATACCTCAACACGCCAAACTTGAAAAAGTTGTGCTCGGGGCTTTGTTTGATAGTTTTTATCACCACAGCTTGAAGCCGACTTGCAGACATCTTGGCTAGAAGTGTGCAGAAGACGATAGAAGTTTGCCTCTGCGCCGTCTCATTCCGAAGGCCGGCCCGCGTTCTCGTGAACAGTGTCAACCCAGAGGTTTGAAGTGGTAGTGTTGTTCCGGAAAGTGTTACGTACAGTATGAAATGCGTCAACACTCTAATCTTGATAGCAAAGCCCTTGTAGAGGGTTTTGGGTACGGGATTGGGTACAGTAATTGTGGTAGAGTGTCCTGTTTCAGCCTTCTCCGGTTGTTTTGTAGGCAAGATTGAACATGTGGGTCGGAACGGTTAGCTATGTAGGATTCGGCGAAACGATGAAAGCTGGCACCAACGGGAGTTAAACCTTAATTTCTAAGCGCTGCAGCCGGCACCTTAAACCTCAGATCCATCATGCCGTTTCGCTCGAACCAAGCGGATAGTCCCTGCATTTACAGAAGTTGGAGGAGCCCTTAAGTCGAGTCCTGCATGTACTACCAATGTACCCATCCATATCTACAGTCAGTCTGTTTGCCTGTCCATTTGGGCATCTGCCTCTGTGTGGCTGCGTCCGTCCGTCCGTCCGTCCGTCTGTTTGTCTGTCTATCCATCTATCACCCTAAACCCTGAAATCCTAAACCAAACACCCCCCCACCCCGAAATCTCGAACTTTGGAGCTCCAAACCCCAAGAGATTTTGAGTCGTGGCCTTCACGCTTCCGCATTCTGCGAGGAAGAACCGGGGAGCTGTATACCGGACGCATACCATGTCATACTTCCGGGAATGTTGCTCTTGAGGGTAGGTAGATATTTCAGGAAGATTCGATGAATTAGATATTCCTGCTTACAGCGTGTTGGGCTCCTGTGGAAGTCCACCCGTGCTGGCAGGCAGAGTCATGGAACTTATAGACCAGATCATCGTTCCGTGCTGCCTGCTAGGCTGGTCGCCATCTTTGAACTTGAGCTCGACTTCTGTCAAACCCCAAAAAGCGCTAACCCTAAACCGTAAAGACCCTGAGCCCTATGCCTGAAATCCTGGGCCCCAAAGCCCCCAAAGCCGGCTCCTAAGAGTCTCCTGGTGGGTAGTTTCCGTTTCAACCGCGTCTGGAAAATTGGCAGGTTTACCGTATTCCGGCCCGAAGGATCCCAAGTTTTGTGGTTAAGGGTTTGAGTTTTGGGTTCTGGGTTCACTCTTTAGGGCTTGGATTCAGACACCCTGAAGCCTAAGCCGTGCGACCCCTCAGATCGCAAGACTCAGGGTTTTCATTCGGATTCGTGGCGGTTCAGGTTGCTGGAGGACAGGGGATGGCCTCGTAAGTCAGTCAGGGTCTCTGAGGTCATCCCTGTCTTGAGCGCAAGTTGGTCGAGTCCTACACAAAGAGGTTTGAAGACTTGGAATGATGTCCCGTCATGGTCAGTATAGCATATCACACTATACCTCAAACAGTATTGAATTTGCGAGATCTGCACAGATCTCAGACAGCCTCTGGGATCTTCTCCCAAGCCGATACCCTGAACCCTGAACCCTGAACCCTGAACCCTGAACCCTGAACTCCAAACCCTGAACCCTGAACCCTAAACCCTGAACCCTGAACCCTAAACCCTAAACCCTAGAACCCCAAGTCTGGTAACCCTTCCTCTTGGACCGTTTGTGGCAGCTTCGGCCCCAAGACGAGCACTAAGCCAGCATGGCAATGAGAAGGTACAGTATAGCTATATCAAAAGCAGTTATGTTGCTAAAGTTAGTATAGCTATGCAAAGGTGACAAGGGGATACGAACAATCCGAGCGAAGTCCCTTAAACCTACGTTCGAAGCACAGGACCTCAAGCTCCTGAGCCTAAACCCCCCCAAATCTTCCATCCCTGATCCCTTAAGCCTCGTCGGAAGCGCGAGACCGCATCCAAGTTGCTGCAACCGGCCTTTTACCCAAGGTTCTATCGACTTTATGCATGTTGTTGAAGGGTTTTCTGGGGTCTTTTAGTGTGCTGGAAGGACGTGCGCTGTCGGGGTAAGCTTTGCAGAAAAAGACAGCAAGAAGCAATAGCCGCCAAAACGTAGAAAGGATCCTGATATCAAGGATCCTGCGATGTAAATTTTAGTGTTCTACCCATTCTTCGCGTATATACCGCTTTAATCCCTAAATCCCTAAACCCCTACACCCTAAACCCGAAACCCCAAAGCCCTAAACCCTCAACCCTTAACGTCCAGCGCTATGGACGTGATCGTCGAACTTGCTGCCTCTGCACCAGCTCCGGCATCTCCAGCGTGCCTGATGCTGCTTTTGGAGTGCGGAGAAGTCTTCTAGGAGGGGGTTTAGGGTTTAGGGTTTCGGGTTCAGGGTCATTGCAAGGGCTACCATAAGGACTCTATGAGGGTTTACTTTCAGGCTTCTAGACGAGTTACTATGTTTTTGGATGGACAAAGGTACCATATCAAAGTTGTTCCAGTGGAAAAGTGTGAAGAACAAAATGTGCCAACCAATCGTCCGCGTTAATGCTGAGCTCATTCGAGGTGCATGTCGTCGCAGCGCGGAGGTGTAGTCATGTATTTGAATGTCATTGTACAGACGAAGACATTTTGCTGGGTTCGCAGAAAGATGGCAGCATGTGTGTGTGTGTGTGTGTATGGTCTCGTTCATGAGCCTAAGGGAGTCACGTCCCATCCGTTTGCAGCATTCATGCATTTTCTCAGAAGTGGTACGCCTGCAGTGCACAGTTGCTTTTCAGCAGGGGGATGCAGCACATCGCCGGGACTGCATCCAACGAAGCTACCAGTGATGTGGGAGGCCAGACTTGGCCACTCTGGTGTACCTGCACGTGTTGTTGAACGTAACAATGCATCTAGCATCTTCGCTGTACGTGATGGCTATCTTCACTGTTGGTTCGAAGAGAAGGACACCCACAGGTGCTACGATTTTGCAGCCCGGTAGTTTGTGGATGCACGTATGCCGCAATCTGTTTTCGTGTTGAGCAGGACAAGTTGCCAAGCAAGTGTCAGCAGACAGGAAATGACAGGAACATCCAGCATTCGGTGCAAGCTAAATCCAACCATGAGTGCGCCGAACTTGTCGAGAGTGTACTTCGCCCTGAGACTTAAGGCTGTTCACAGAGTTCAGGCAGAAGCCAAATCACTGCCATCAACGGTTCTCGGAGAGAGTGTTTCAAGCCTGATAACGTAATTCTTGCATCTAAATCCCGATGCCCATCTGCAAGACGTAAACCATACTTCTGTGTATGTGCATATATGTGCCTATATATATATATATACACACAGGTGAACACGCGCACACAATCATCCACTCAAACTACAGATAAGCCTCTGATCGTGTATCCGTAGTGCTGGGACACCCGTAAACCTTAGTGCCAAAACCTTAAACCCCTGAATTCTCGACCTTAAACCCTATAGCCTCAGGTTCTTTTTGCTCTTTGCTTGCATCGGCTGCCACTGGCTACTGACGCGGCACAGTCTTCCTCCGGGCCTCGCGAAGCTCGAACCCAATGATTTAAATTAGGGCCGTGAGACTAAGAATGGCTTTAGACTGGGTTTTTGTTGTTGTTTCAGGATGTTTCGACGCTGTTGTAAGGGTTTCATAGGTGTGTTTATATGGGGCTTGAGCCCTGGACAAGGACATTGTCGAATCATCATGGTCGGGATTTTTCGGGGTTTGCCACCAAGACGTGGGTTTCAGAAACTAGTGTAGGGGTACCGTACTTAGGGGCCTGTACAACAGGGATCCTATGCTGGTGATGAGGCCGACGACGACAGTAGGCATTGACGATAAGTACTGATTTGGCGACCAACTCGATTGTGACAGCAACTCATGGAGCCGGCATCTCTCACAATCATACGCCATGTCCCGCCCACCACATCGACGGCGACGACTACTACAAACACTGGTAAGTTGTTAGTACGAGGCACGAAGTAACAAGAGTTGCATTGGCAAGACAGTCATCGAAGCCTTTTAAAATCAGTAAGTGTATACCCATTGCAGCCATAATTATAATGGATATCAGAATCATGGTATCCCGATGACCTAAATATCAACACTACCACACCCCAAACTTTTCTTAAGCCCCAACCCCCAAACCCTAAATTCCTAACCCATACCATTCTTCGAACCTTAAACGCTCACCTGGACCCTCATATCCAAGCCCTCAACCCCTGCTTTTTCATGGGACCGGGTGTATCCCTTTGTGCCCAGGTGGCTGGCAGGGACGCGCCCCAAAGCGCAGGCCGAGTACCTTCGGGCAGGTACAGGGTGTTGGGTGCTGGGCTGGGGGTTCGGGATTGCTGTTGGTGGCAACGGGCTTTGCGGATTGTGCTCCCGAAGCCCACATCCAAGGCGCTGATCCTTCAAGTAGTTCGGGGCCTCGAACACTCGAACCATTTGTTTTTGGATTGGATGTTGCTACTACTACTGATCTTGGATCTCTACAGTCCCTAAACCCTAAACACTAAACCCAGAACCCTAAGCTACAGTTGAAGGTATGGTTGACTCTGCTGCAGGAGAAGCAGCCGGATCCAGCCGTGCAGCTGAGGGTCCACGAGGAGCAGAAGTCAGGGATCGTGTAGGGTCTTATGGGGTTTTCAATGCTTGCTCCAGTGCGCTGAAAGATTTTCGGAGACACTTGAGAAGGGTTTTGTGGGGTTTTCGAGGTTCGGGTTGAGTTTGAACCTTTACGTTAGAGCTCCTGCGAGGCTTCAGGTTTTATTGAAGTTCAGGGTTTAAGGTCGAGGATGTCGACCTCCCAGAACCTGCAAAGCCCTGAACCCTGATGCTAGGTGCCACACATGCCTTCAACCGTAGATATGAAGCCAGGAACTTCGTGAGGTCCTGGTCCGCTCCTGGATGAGGGCGTGTTCTTATCTGCTGCATCTGCATTTCTTGCCCATGACAAGGAGACGGGGTGTGAGGAGGGGAGACGGCAGGGAGACAGAGAGAGCAAGAGATGCGCAGACTCTTTAGCAACACGCATGTGCATGTGCATGCCTCTCTCGTCTCTCCTTCTCTCTCTCATCGCTCTCTCTCCCTCTCTCTCTCTCTCTCTCTCTCTCTCTCTTTCTCTCTCATCTTTCTCTCTCTCTGTCTCCCATCTCTGTCTCTCTCTCTCTCTCTCTCAGCTGTCAGCTCTCATCTCTCATCTCTCGCTCTCTCTCCCTCTCCCTCTCTTTTCCCCTCTCTCTCTCTCTCTGATCTCTCTCTTTCTCATTCCTCTCTCTCTCTCTCTTCTCTCTCCCTTTCTCTCTCATCTCTCTCTCTTTCTCTTACATCTCTCTCATCTCTCTCATCTCTCTCATCTCTCTCATCTCTCTCATCTCATCTCATCTCCCTCACTCTCTCGAAATATATGTATATATGGAAGCATAAGTATCTATATATACAGAGCTATATGTACACTCATACATGCATAAATCGCAAAATGCAGATTCACATGCTTGTACGCATGCATGCTAACAGAGAAACACAATACATGCATGGACATGCATATAGATATGCGCCAACATTGTGTATGTATGCATGTATGTATGTATGTATGTATGTATGTATGTATGTACGCACGTGTGTACGTGTGTATATAAGTAAATATGAAGGTATGGATGTATGTGTGTGTATGCATGCATGGTACTGTAGTGTGCTGTCATGTAATGTAATGTAAAATAATGCAAAGCAATGTGAACTTGGTTTAATGTCATGTGATGTAAGGTAATATAATGCAGTGTAATGTAATGCAGTCGCTGCAATGCAATGCAATGCAATGTAATGTAGTGTAATGTATTGCATTGTAGCACATTCTATTGCAATGCATGATACGTATGTACCTGTATGTGTAGGCGTCCGTGTACGTGTTTACGTTTTTATACGCTTATGCATGCAGCATATGTATATGCAGATCTGCATGCAGATGTACATGCATATGTGTACACGGATATCGTTGTAGATGTAAGCAGCAAGAACGCAAAGCCGAGATATATAGTACCAAGAAGTACGAATAGGCACATCGGAGAGACAAGAAAGCGCTTATTCTTGGCATGCATACACGTCTAGAACGCAATCAAGCAAAAATTAACTCTATGCGCCCTAACTCTAATCCCTGCAACCCCTGCAAATAGTGAATACCTTGTAACCTGAACGGCTGAAGCCCTTACAGAAGTGCATTTGGAAAGCAAGCAAAACAGAGGTGAACCATGAAATCCTTACAAAGAGCATTCTAACGAACAAGGAAGAGTGACTGTCCTACACCGTAGGAGACGCACTGCAGCCATAAAGCACCACGAAAAGCGAAGAGCCGGTGTTCGAGCCTACCTTCAGATCACACCATCCCAGGGTTTTGGGCGAGGGATTTTCAGATTTTTTCATGGTTGTTTTACGGATCTTATAATCATTTTCAAGGCGTTTACAAGGACCTTCACAGGGAGATTATACAGCCCTGATTGAAGGCTTGCGGCAGAAGGTTTCGCGAATCTTGTGTTCCCTAGACCGCGTTGCAGCTCTTTTTGTTGCCAGGACCATCTATGAGTTCTGCCTGAAGGGCGACGGTCCATCTCTGGGCTGGATGACCTCGTGCCTGAACCTTGGCCTTACTGGCGGGTCTCAGGCCTTGGGCTCTTGGGCTTGGAGGTTTAGGGTTGCACCCCATATTCATCCCGCTCACTGCTCGGTGAGAAACGCTGTAGTCGTCAGCAGCG